TGGGGTGAGATGATATCTCATAGTTGTTTTGATTTGCATCTCTCTTAGAGCTAGGGATTTTGAACATTTCTTCATGTGCTTGTTAGCCATCTGAATGTCTTCTTTAGTGAAAAGGTCAGTCCTGTTTTGTAACAGAGGCACAATGCAGTATTTGTCCTTTGTGACTGAGACATTTCACTCAGCATACTGTCCTTCAGGGTCACCCATTTTGAATAATTTTTCTTGATTTCCTTGTTTTTCAGTGCAGCATAGTATTACATTGTGTGAATATAATATCATAGCTTCTCTATCCATTCGTTTGTTGATAGACACATAGCTTGTTTCCCAGCTCTTTGCTATTGTAAACAAAGCCGCAAGAAAAACATGGGTGTGCAAATATCTGCTTGGGTGGCAGTTATGGTCTCTTTGGGGTATATCCTCAGTAGTGGAATTGCTGGGTCAAATGGTACTTCTATTTCCAACTTTTTGAGAAGGCGCCACACTGCCTTCCACAGTGACTACACCTAGACTGTCGTTTCTTAATGGAATCCTGGTGGAATAGTGAGTGATGTATGCAACCCGCAAGACCAGAGGTTCAAATCCACCAGCCACGCAGTGAGAGGAGGATGGGCAGTGTCCTCCCATAGAAGCCCACGGCCTGAGATGGCCTAGAGGGGCCACAGGGGCTCAGTCCCACCTCCACAACAGTGTGCTCTTCTGTTTCTGGAGGTTTTGGGGCACTAGTCTTATTAAATGTACATTCCCATCACGAAAAAGCTTGACCTGTCACCAGGAATGTCCACAGTTCAGAACAGGAGGCATTAGAAGTGGGGCTGCCACAGGCCAGCAGTTTGTGAAGAGGCAATGCCTGCCAGGTGCCACCTGCTAGGTGCTGCGCAGAACCGATGTGGGCGTGGGCTCCGCCCGAGTCTTCTCGGTGAGACGCCCCAGGGGCTCTGGAACGGTCACCGGGTCACCCCCATTTCTTCTGCTCCTCATCACCAGGGAGACCAACCTGAAGTTCAGGCAAGCCTTGTCCATCACCCACCATGAGCTGACCACTGTGAGGAGCATGTCCACCTTCCAAGGTGAGAGGTGCGGGGCAGGGCACCCCTTCCAGCCTCAGTGACCTCATCTGAAAAATGAGGATTTGGTGATGATCTGTTCCGGTGAAGATCGCAGCCAGACCACCACTGACCACTCAGCTTGGGCCCACAGGAGGTCCTGGACAGGGTGGGCACAAAATCAGTCCCATAAAAAAGACCAGTCACTGATCTGGAGACGGACAACAGGTAGGCCTGCAAAGTGACCGGTAACCCCCCCGTGAGCACCGCACCTCCCAGAACCAGCAGCCGCACGAGGACGGGCAGCGTTGCCCGAGCCGAACAGGACAGGGTGGGGACGGGGTGGGCAGAGACAGGGAAGCTAAGGAGGAGAAGGACGTGTGCCGTTAGGGGGCGATGACCGCAGAGCACGTGGGTGTCCGACAGGGAACAGGCGTCCCGCAGTGGTGAAGCTTTCTGGGGGGCATGGCTCGCTTGGTGGGGATAGGCTCACGGTGGTTCCCAAGGGGACTCTGCTCCGGCCAGGCATTCAGCTGGGTGGGGGTGTGAGGAGCCCACCTGGTTAGAGGAGACGTGAGTCTGGGAAAAGGCGTCCTGGTGGAGGGAACAGCATACTTGGAGTCCTGAGGCCGTGGCGCTAGCCTGGAGGATTGCACGGGGGGCCGCCCCAGGGTACTCTTGGAAGTATCAGCGGAGCTGGTGGGGTGGGGCGTCCATAGGTGGACAGGAGCTTGGTGCGAGAGGGGCGTCAGGGAGCCCGGGGAGGAGGCTGGAGGCCAGCCGTGCTTATGGTCTGATGGCTGCCTGGTCTCCTCCAGGGAAGGTGGTGTGTGAGAAGCCCAACAGCCGGATGCACACCTTTGTGGGGCGCCTGGAGTGGAAGGGTGAGAAGTACCCCCTCAACAGCGGCAACATCCTCCTGCGAGGCTTCAAGATTCGTAACACGCACACCTGCTACGGGCTGGTCATCTACGCCGGTACTGCCCATCGGGCCCCAGGCACTGCCCCGCGGGCCCCAGGCGCTGCCCCTCACGCCCCAGGCGCTGCCCCTCGCGCCCCAGGCACAGGTTGCTGTGTGGGAAGGTGGGAGGACCCCAGGCTGCTGGCGAGAAGCTTCAAAGACCAGCCCTGGCAACATGAGGTTTCTGATTTGGCTTCTCTGGGCTCCAAGCTCTGAAAATGTTGCCCCAGCACCCGTGGTTTGGCTGGAAAAAGTGGGTAAATAGCAGGATGGGCAGGTGTGTGGGTGGATGGACGAAGAGTGGATGTGTGGTTAAGTGTAAGAGTAAAGCTAATAGATGGACAGATTGATGGAAGATGGAGGTGAAGTTCATGAGTGGGCTGCATGGTGGGTGGGTGGGTAAACGGGCTGGATGGTGGGTGGATGGGTGAATGTGTAGACAGGTGGGTGGCTCGATGGGGTCAGTGGATGAAGGATTAGCAGGTGGAGAGATGAACGGATGGATATGTGAGTGGATGAGTGGAAGGATGGACACGGGTGGGTGGATGGAGGATAAGTGGGTGGAAAGACAGATGGACGGGTGGATGGGGATGAATGGATGGAAAGCAGAGTGGATAAGTGAATGGATAGAATGACGGGTGGGTGGATGGATGGAGGATGGGCAGATGGGTATGCCTGGTGGTGGATGGAGAATTGATGGCTGGCTGGACAGACGGTGGACAGGTGGGTGGACGGAGAATGAGTGGGTGGGATGATGGAGGGGGGGGTGGATGAGTAGATAGATGGATAGTTGGAAGGAAGAAGTTGCATGGGTGGAAGCATATATGATGGACAGGAGGAAGGTTGTGTCAGTAGAAAGGCTGGACCGATAGGTCACTGGGCAGAGGACAAGGCGGGGAGGGGTGGTGGGCAGACATGTGCAAGGTTGGGTGGACGGTGCTCTGAATGTGAAGAGCTCGGGGTCTGTCTTGTGACCGAGGGACAGAAGGCCCTCTGGTCCACGCCCTGGGCCCAGTGCAGGCGGCTAGTGCACGTCCCCCGGGACTTTCCAGGCATTTAGACAGGGCAACAAAGAAGACAGGCCAGGTTCCCGGAGTGCCCGGTGCCCACGAGGCCACCACGTCCCATGCCCCCCTGCCACCTGGCCCTGCAAGGGGTTTTTTCTTTTTAATTTTTTTCCTGTGCAGGTTTTGACACGAAGATCATGAAGAACTGTGGCAAGATCCAAATGAAAAGGACAAAGCTGGACCACCTGATGAACAAGCTGGTGATCCTGGTGAGCCCCAGGCGCGGGCGCGAGGACCCGACCACCGTCTGCCCTGAGCGGGCACCCACCAAACCCAGCGCCACCCTGCCCCTCCTTGACACAATCGCAGCCCTGATCCTGAGGTCCAGAGACGCTAAAAAAAAAAAATTCTGACTACCGCCACCCCTCCCTCCGCCACCGCCACCCCTCTGCCAGCTCCCTCTGCCAGTGGAGGTTTGGAGGTCACTGTGATGCTGAGAGCAGCCCCAGTGCCCGTGTTTGCCAGGAGAGACTAGGAAGAGAGGCCTGGCTATCAACATCTAAAATCCAGCCAGCAAAATCCCTGAGCATCCCAGCAGGTCAGCCGACAGTGACCCCTGCAGGACTGGGCCACTCTGTTCTGTGACCCTGAGGCTTGCCCAGCCTGGGGTCCACTTGACAAACGTTTGTCTGGGAGCCCTCTTTTAAAATATTGTGGTTGTAGTAGGGAGCTATGGTGGCCTAGTAACAAGAAGGCATGCAGTTCAAGGCCACCAGCTGCTCTGTGGGAGAAGGATGGGCAGTTAACACCTGCCTCTGAAAACCCACCAGAGGGTCCGCTGTGGGTCAGTTCCAATGGTACACAACAACAACAACAACAACAACAGCAGCAGTTGTCAGGTGCTGCTGGGCCAGCCCCCCGGAGCCTTGCCCTGTGCTGGCCTCACTGTCTCCACGTGCTCAAGCCTCTCGTTACAGTCACTGAGCCGTCCAACAGTTTTTTCAAAAAAGTACCATCTTTTAAGAGAGCTCTGGTGGCCTAGTGGCAAGAAGCTGCAACTACAATCCCAGAGGTGCACGGTTCAAATCCACCAGATGCTCTGCCGGGGAAGGAGGGACAATCTCCTCCTGTACCAGTCAGATCTGATTTGACGGTACACTCACACAAAAATAATAAAATAAAATAAATAAAATAAAATACAAATTTTTTAAAAAGTACCATCTTTTAAGGGAGCTCTGGTGGCCTAGAGGCACAAAGCTGCGCTGCAATCCCGAAGGCATGTGGTTCAAATCCACCAGCTGCTCCACTGGGGAAGGAGGGGCAATGTCTTCCTGTGCCTGTTGGATCCGATTCCACGGTACACAGCAAGAAAAACCAAACGCCACTATCGGGTTTTTTTGGTGTGTTTTTCTTAATATTTTTAATTATTTTTTTATTAATTTTAATGAACATTTACAGAGATTTTGGATTTCCATTCATTCATTGTTGCACCCCACTATCTTTTTTATTTGTTGTTGCACATTTTCTCCCCCCCCACAGTGCACCCCTTGTTCCAGATTGTTGCCGTACATATAATGCCTGATCATATATTCCTTTCAGCCAGTTCCCCTCCTCCGTTCTGTCGCAGTGTTCGTTATCTATCCACCCGTTCCCTGTTCCCCCCCAACCCCAACCCCCGTCTGTCCTACTCTTTAACAGCGGTGTTACGCAGTATTTGTCCTTTTGTGACTGAGATATTTCACTCAGCATACTGCCTTCCCGGCTCCCCCATGTTGTGTGAAGTTTTACAAATTCATTGCTTTTCAGAGCTGCATACTGTCCCATGGTGCACTGCACTGTAACTCTTCTATCCATCTGTTTGTAGATGGGCAGTCCCTCATTTTTAAATTCTTGACATTATCTAAGTAGATTTATAAGCCACCAAGCCCGGCAGAGACCCTGGAAGTTCTGCTCTTGGGGCTCCAGGCTTCTCTTCCCCACATTTTTTGGGGGGAGGCATGGACTGTTGAGGGGGCCTCCCATCTTCTCGAGCGCCCACCTCCCATTCCTGGGGTGTCTGTGTGGCCCTGCCACCTCACCTGCCACTTCTCCCCGCAGATCTTCCTCTTCCTGGTGCTGGCCGCCTTGGCCTTGACCGTAGGCTTCAGGTACAAGATGGAAGAATTCGTAAGCAAACACCACTACCTGTGGGGCAGCTACCAGAGTGTAACATCCTGTGACAGCGTCCTCAACTTCCTGGGCTTCCTGATCCTCCTCAGTGTTATGTTACCCATGGCCATGTTTATCATGTGAGGACCCGGCCGGGGGGCGGGGAGGGCCCGGCCACTGAGACCCCTGGAGCGCGGTCCTCTGACACGTTCGGGGCCGCCAGGCAGCAGCGTTCACGCCCAGCAGAGAACGCTGACCCCAGCAGGCTGCCCACCCACAGGCCATGGGACCCCGTGGATAAAGGCCTGGGGTCTCATTCCAGGGCCTGGGAGCCTCAGGGAGCCGGCTTCTCCCCTGATGCAGCTGGGGCTGCCGTGAGGTTGAGGGTTTGGGGTTTTTGTTTGTTTGGTGTTTGGGCCGGCCTGGGAGGCAGTGGGAAGGGGCCTGCGGGCCCAGCTTTATCTGGTTTCCTGCCTCGCAGAGCCGAGTTCATCTACCTCGGGAACAGCGTCTTCATCAACTGGGACAAGGAGATGTACTACGAGCCGACGGACATGCCGGCCAAGGCCCGCAGCACCAGCCTCAATGACCACCTGGGCCAGGTGGAGTTCGTCTTCTCAGACAAGACGGGCACGCTCACTCAGAACATCATGGCCTTCAAGAAATGCTGCATCGACGGCTACATCTACGGTGGGCCGCCCTGCCCCACGCGCCCCCAGCCCGCCTCCCAGCCCAGCACCCCACGTCACCGAGCACAGGCGCCCACAGCAGCCCCCAGAGTGCAGGGCAGCGCCTGACCGTGCACCACGTCTGTCTGCAAGGTGTGCACGTGCACATCTGCCTTCAGGAAGGCAAAGTTCGTCTCTGAGGACGACACACAGGGCGCAGTTTTGTGCATCCAGGGCGTTAACTAACTCGTAACATGGTCCCACGGTAACAGTAGCAGCTGGGTTCCAGCCAAGGTGGCATCGCCGTAAACCACCGCAGGCCCCTGGAACTGGCACTACAGGAAGCTTGACGGCCGCTCTGTAAGTCACACGTCCTGGCAGGTGGACTGCTGAGGACCTCGCCCTGGGGCGTGATGGTTAAGCCCTCGGCTTCCAACCAAAATGTGAGTGGTTGAAAGTTATCCAGCAGCCAGTCAGGGGAGAACCCTCGGGGCCTGCTCGCTTAAAGCCTGTCCGGCGCCAGTGTCTTCCCTGAATGCCCTGGGAGAGTCAGCTATGACAGCCCTGGCCGGCGGTCCCACCGCAGCCCTGCCCAGCTCTGCGTAGGCCCCACCCAGCCTCCCGGGCTTCATCCATAGGGGTTTCCCAGGGAGCGATAGGCCGCCTGCTTCCCCGTCTGTGTCTGGACGCTGCCCTGGAAGCTGCCCCGTTGTTACCTGGATTTCCAGTGATTCTGCTCCCAGCTTCGCAGTACATACACAGAACCCCAGGGCGGGGTCCTGCCCGCACGTGTCCCCCCTCAGAACATACAGAGCCCCAGGGCGGGGTCCTGCCCGCACGTGTCCCCCCTCAGAACATACACATCGAGAGACCAGGGAGGGGTCCTGCCCTGATCCACGAGGCATAGGCTCTGAGACACCCACAGCTCGCTCTCTGGGAGTACAGCTGCGGGGAAGGTCAGAACTAGCGACATTTTGATGAGGAACCTGTCAAAAACCCATTAACAAGGGAGCTCTGGCGGCCTAGTGGCAAGAAGCTACGCTGCAATCCGAAGGCATGTGGTTCGAATCCACCAGATGCCCTGCTGGAGAAGGAGGGGCAATGTCCTCCTGTGCCAGTTGGATCCAATTAGATGGTACACAACAAGAAAAAAAAAACAAACAACCACAACACCAAACCAATAGCAACAAAACCCATTTACACCCTCCGGGAAATGTGATTCACCACTGCTGGCCCTGTGCTGACCACTTGGACTCTGTTTGGACCACGCCGGTCTGCGGTGTGGCTCGGAGGCAGCCGTGGCACGCTCCAAGGGCATCGTGTCTTTGTGGGTCTTCCTTACTCATTGGCCAGCGCTCAGATGCATGGACAGCAGTGGAAAAGACCATGGCTTGGCTCAGGTGCACCTTAGTCCCTAAGCTGACATCCTGCTCGTTTGCATTGTGCAGGGACCCTGGGCAGCAGGTCTCCCTCGGGCCACACACCCTTCGGTGGATGACCAGGTTCAGGTCTATGGTTGATAGGGTCACTGTGGGTCACACTGCACAGCACCTAACAACAACGTCGACACACCTGGTCCCTCGGCTGCTGCTCCGGCTGTTAATTGTGGTTCAGGCCAAATGGTGCCCCTGGGGCGTCCGTCTCTTGTCCACCTGTCATGCTGTATGTCCGTCAGGCAGCAAGGATTTGTGTTTTCTTGACGTTGAGGCTTTGATCTTCGTAAGTGCTCACGTCGCGTGCACTGTCGGAGGCAGTGAAGGTGGCCTTCAGGTGGCCTGTGGGCAGTTCCGCTCTGTCACTGGTGCCGCGGAGCCACGTTCTCGAAGGGCCCCTTGAGGGGGGTCACCTCACAGTGAGAGTCTCCCCTGGGGACGCGGCCCCATCTTGCTCCCTCGGTGCATTGGGCCCTCCGCTCAGGAGGGGTTGGGGGCGGGGCTGCAGGACAGCGAGGGGCCGGGAGAGCTCAGCCTGACTCTATCCCCCCCACCCCCAGGTTCTGAGGACAAGGACACAGACTCAGAGGTGAGCCCTGGCCTGCTGCCCCGAGGGGTTGGGGTGGTGGGACCCTAACAGAGCTGGCCTGTCCCCTCCGCTCCCTAGGACAACCCTTACCAGTGGAACAAGTATGCCGACAGGAAGCTCCTGTTCCACAACGCAGCGCTGCTGGCCACCGTCAGGGCCGACGAGAGTCCGGCAATGCGGGAGTTCTGGCGTCTGCTGGCCCTGTGTCACACGGTGATGGTGCAGGAGCAGGACAGTGAGTGTCCGACTCACGGGGACGGGCCGGTGTCCTCCCCAAGTCACAGGGCGATGCTGGTGGACGTGTCCTCTCTCGGGTCACACGGTGATGGTGGTGGACAGTCCCGGTATCCTCTCCTGAGTCACACAGCGATGGTGCAAGAGCAGGACAGTGAGTGTCCCTGTCACAGTGGACAGCCTGGTGTCCTCTGAGTCAGGGTGATGGTGGTGGACGTGTCCTCCCTCGGGTTGTACGGCAATGGTGGTGGACAGTCCCAATGTCCTCCCCTGAGTAAGACTGTGATGGCCCAGGACAGAGTGTCCCCATTGTAGGCCAGTGACCCCTGGCAGTCCAGTCTGCCTCAGGCCTGGGAGCTTCTCAGGGCTCTCACTGGCAGGTCGTTGGTTGGGATCCTTTCAGGGATGCCTCAGAAGAAAGGCCTGGCAGTCTGCTTCCCAGCAGTCAATCCCTGACTCTGTGGACCCTGTGGAGCACAGGTGTGACCTGGCACAGGTGTGGACTCTCTGGAGCACAGGTGTGACCTGGCACAGGTGTGGACCCTGCGGAGCACAGGTGTGGACCCTGTGGGGCACAGGTGTGACCTGGCACAGGTGTGGACCCTGTGGAGCTCAGGTGTGACCTGGCACAGGTGTAGACTCTGTGGAGCACAGGTGTGACCTGGCACAGGTGTGGACCCTGCGGGACACAGGTGTGGCCTGGTACAGTATGATCTGGCATAGATGTAACCCGGCACAGGTGTGGACCCTGTAGAACAAGTGTGACCTGCCACGGTGTGAACCTTGTGGAGCAGAGGTGTAGACCCCATGGAGCACAGGTGTGACCTGGCACAGGTGTAGACTCTGTGGAGCACAGGTGTGGACCTTGTGGAGCACAGGTGTGACCTGGTACAAATGTGACCTGGCACAGGTGTGGACTCTGTGGAGCACAGATGAGGACCCCCGTGGGGCACAGGTGTGACCTGGCACAAATGTGACCTGGCGCAGGTGTGGACCCTGCGGAGCACAGGTGTGGACACTGTGGAGCACAGGTGTGACCTGGCACAGGTGTGGACTCTCTGGAGCACAGGTGTGACCTGGCACAGATGTGGACCCTGCGGAGCACAGGTGTGGACCCTGTGGAGCACAGGTGTGGCCTGGCACAGTGTGATCTGGCATAGATGTAACCCAGCACAGGTGTGGACCCTGTAGAACAGGTGTGACCTGCCACGTTGTGAACCTTGTGGAGCAGAGGTGTAGACCCCGTGGAGCACAGGTGTGACCTGGTACAGGTGTGGACCCTGTGGAGCATGGGTGTGGCCTGGAGCACAGGTGTGGACTTCGTGGAGCGCAGGTGTGCAGAGATTCCCTCACCGGCCACCACACTCACCTTCAGAGCTGCTGCGGGCCTTGTCTGAGCCCCCGCTGCTGGTCATCAGCAGGGGTGTGGGTGTAGGCTCTGTCCCTGTGCAGAGCGGGGGTCAGTCTCTGAGCAGGAGGTGGGGAGGGCCGGTCCCTGAGAGGTTTATCACCAGGTGGTGGGGCAGGTGGTGCTGGCGGCTCAGGCATCTGCTGACGCGGCGGCCGAGCGACCTGGGGCTGCTGGGCTTCTCCTTGTAGAAGCTGTAGGTGACTGCGGGAGGGGGACCCCTAACCGGGCTCTGGGAGAGGCTCCCTCCTTGTCAGTGGCTCCATGGTGCCCCAGCACCCCCAGGTCCCCCCTTCTCTTTATGAAACACTACCCTTGTCTGCTGTGAGGGAGAGAGCCCTGACTCCCCCATCACGTTCACGGACGGGAGGCAGAGTTCTCCCGTCACAATTGTGGGGGCCCCGTCCAATCCACAGCAGGGTGCACGCACCCCCTTTACAGCGCTGCTAGGGCACCTCTGGGGCACAGTGTCCGTGGGACACCAGCTAACACGAAGACCAGCAGTTTGAACCCACTAGGAGAGAGTGGGGTGGCCTCCCCGTGGGCTTTACAGCCGCAGGAGCCCCGTGAGTGGCCAGCTTGGGGTTTGGGCCTAGGCTACGTGTCCGGGCAGGGGTGCCCTCAGGGTGGGGGCAGCCAGGCTGGCCACCATGCTCTGTGGTCCCCTCCTCACGCTCCAGACCAGCTCCTGTACCAGGCAGCATCGCCAGATGAGGAGGCGCTGGTCACAGCCGCCCGGAACTTCGGTTACGTGTTCCTGTCACGCACGCAGGACACCATCACACTGATGGAGCTGGGGCAGACTCGCGTCTACCAGGTGCTGGCCATGATGGACTTCAACAGCGTCCGGAAGCGCATGTCAGTGCTGGGTGAGCCCTGGGGCTGCGGGGAGCCCATGGGGTGGAGGGAGTGGTGCATACACAGGGAGGAGGGAGGGGTGCAGGGGGAGGAAGAAGAGGGGTTGAGGGAAGGAGGCAGTGGGGTGTCCGCAGGGAAGAGGGAGCAGAAAGCCCTCGGCCAGCCGGGCGTCTCCTGTCCCCTCCACAGTGCGAAACCCCGAGGGCTCCATCATCCTGTACACCAAGGGTGCAGACACGGTCATCTTTGAGCGGCTGTCCAAGAGAGACTTGACTGAGAAGGCCACAGAGGGGGCCCTGGCCGTGAGTCCCCTGGGGTCTGTGGCCAAGGGGAGAGACGTGGGCAGGCATGGGTGACAGTGGTGCAGTGGCTGGGGGGGGGTTGTGTACTGTGCACAGGCACCTCCCTTGTCCTCCATCCCGCCTGCCTGGGCACCACTGTGGAGCCACGTCGGACCCTTGACAGCCCACGGCCCCCCACCGGGTTTCTGAGGCCACAGATCCTGAAGAGGGTCTGGTGGATTCGAACTGCCCACCTTTTGGTTAGCATATAGGGCCGCTTGTCGTAACCCACTTCAGCACCCAGCTGTCCCAGATCTGGTTAAGCTCTCAGCTCTGCAGGATACAGGCCTCATGGTCTGTTCTTAAATGTGCCGGCTGAGAACTTCCCACAAGGCAGACCACCGTCCGATATCGCTGTGAGCTGGCATCAACTCCAGGGCGCCCAGCGGGGCCTCCCTAACACCTCCCTGGCCTGGCTTCGACCCTAGGACACCCAGTGGGGCCTCCCTAGTACTCCCCCATCTGGCATCACCCCTAGGGCACCCAATGGGGCCTCCCTAATACCCACCCTTGGCCTGGCATTGACTCCAGGGTGCCCTGAACACCCGCAGCCCCAAAGCTTTCCTGTATGTGGCTGAAGCCTCAGCCCACTTCTCCAGGGCTCTGCCCCCTCAGGGGAGCCAGGCCTGGGGTTGTCTGTAGGGTCAGGACAAAGGGGGAGACCACGACTGGAGGGCCACTTTCCTGAGGTCACAGAAATACACAGTGGGTCAGGGGCTCCTTCTTGTCCTCCAGCCCGCCTCTCAGTCCTGAGGCAGGTGGAGAGAGAGATGACCTGGGGTTGAGCGAGGGGGTGCCTTCAGGGCCCCAGACCGCATGGCCTGCTGCTCTGGACGGTAGTGTCCCGCTCAGGCACAGGCCTGGAGTTCCAGCCTAGGGCGCCTGAAGCCTTCTGGCTGCAGGGAGGACAGAGCTGGGGGCAGGTGGGAGTCGGGCTAGAGGCAGGAGCCAGGAAGGATCTGAACTGGGCATTGGGGCTGGAAGGTGAGGCTTCCCACACCTGGCCCAGGCCTTTGCTGAGGAGACCCTGCGGACGCTCTGTCTGGCCTACAAGGAGGTGGATGAGGGAGAGTACAAGGAATGGAGCCAGCGGCACATGGACGCCAGCCTCCTGCTGCACAGCCGGGCCCAGGCCCTGCACCAGGTGTACGAGGAGATGGAGCTCGACCTCCAGGTGGGTGTGTGATGGGCGCAGGTGAGCCCTGCACCAGGGGTGTGATGAGATGGGAGGTTTGGGAGCCCTGAGCAGGATCTGCAGCCTTGCAGGCCAGCAGGGTGCCTGTTCACACTCCCTCAGCTCTCCTCACACCCCACCCCATCTCTGCTCACACCCTCCCTCCCCAACCTGCTACCCGCTCCACTCACACCAGCCCCTAGCTCCGCTCATACAGCACCCCTCTGCTCACACTGGCCCCCCTCCGCTCACACCGGCTCCCAGCTCCGCTCACACCGGCCCCCAGCTCCGCTCACACCGGCCCCCCTCCGCTCACA